CACTCTCTCTAAAAATCAATGGAAAAATATCCTCGGGTGAGCATTAAAAAATAATAATAAAGAAAAAGTTACTAAAAACAAAACAAAAACCCCAGAATAGATGTTTTTATAAATCCTTCTTCAGTCAATATTCACTTACATTGCCCATGCATTATTACTTTCCTTGTTCTTTTTTTAAAAATATATTTTATTGATTTTTAACAGAGAGGAAGGGAGAGAGATAGAGAGTTAGAAACATTGATGAGAGAGAAACATCGACCAGCTGCCTCCTGCACACCCCCTACCGGGGATATGCCCGCAACCAAGATACATGCCCTTGACCGGAATCGAACCTGGGACCTTTCAGTCCGCAGACTGACACTCTACCACTGAGCCAAACCGGTTTCGGCTACTTTCTTTGTTCTTTATTCCTTCTAGGTTTTCATTCTTCTAAGATCATTTTCCTCCTGAAGTACATTCTTTAGAATTTCCATTAGTTCAGTCTATTGGTGATAAACTCTTTTAGATTTATTTGTCTAAAATTATATTTATAATGAACAACATAAACTGATGAACCAAAAAAAATCAGAGATAGAGAAGCATCAATCCAATCATCAAACCTCAAAGGGAAGACAGGGAAGAGTTGGAGGGAAGGGGATAAATCAACCAAAGGACTTGTATGCATGCATATAAGCCTAACCAATTGACACAGGCACTAGGGGTAAAGGCACAAGTGGGAGGGGCAATGGGGGGATAAGGGCACATGTGTAATACCTTAATGCAGTGGTCGGCAAACTGCAACTCGCGAGCCACATGCGGCTCTTTGGCCCCTTGAGAGTGGCTCTTCCACAAAATACCTTGGCCCTGGCGAGTTTATTTTGAAGAAATGGTATTAGAAGAAGTTTAAGTTTTAAAATTTTGGCTCTCAAAAGAAATTTCTATCATTGTACTATTGATATTTGGCTCTGTTGACTAATGAGTTTGCTGACCAAATAAATAAAGAGAAAAAGTGTGGTGATTACAGGGGTAGAGGGAGATAGGTGGAGGTGGTATAGGGCATAGAGTGGATAAAAGGTGATGAAAAAAATTTAATTTAAAATTTGAAAAAAATATATTTGTTTCACTCTCTTTTTTTTTTAAATATATTTTATTGATTTTGTACAGAGAGGAAGGAAGAGAGATAGAGAGCTAGAAACATCGATGAGAGAGAGTCATCGATCAGATGCCTCTTGCACACCCCCTACTGGTGATATGCCCGCAGCCAAGGTACATGCCGTTGACCGGAATCGAACCCGGGTCCCTCAGTCCCCAAGCCGACGCTCTATCCATTGAGCCAAACCGGTCTCAGCTGTTTCACTATCTTGTTGAATATTTTCATGAAAGATGCTGTCCTTGGGTTATGAGGTTAGTGTGGCCAGGATCTCCCATAATTATCCCCATCTGGGTTCTGGCTTCCAATGAGCCTAAGCCCTAGTGTGAAGAGCCTGCATGGCCTCAGCTCCTTCAGTCAGAGAACAATTTCTATCTCATTAGGGTTGCCAGAGATGCTTAAAAGAGATAACGGATGGAAAATTCCTGGCACGGAGGAGTAAGGCAACCAAAGCTAGCTATTTGTATTTCAACTGAAAGCTTTAATTTCTAAACTTCAGATTTTTAAGGTGACTAAGTGAAAATGAGGAGGTTAGGTGGGTTCTAATCCAGTCTGACTGGGGTGCTTATAAGAAGAGGAAATTTAGACATCAAGAGTGGGCACACAGAGGAAAGACCTTGTAAAAAGACAGCAAGAGGGTGGCCATCTGCAAGCCAAGGAGAGATGCCCCAGAAGAAACCAATCCTGTAGGCAACTTTAACTGGATACTAGCCTCCAGAACTTCAAAAAAAGTAATTCCTATTGTTTAAGCCCCCACAGTCTATGGTATCGTACTTTGTCATGGCAGCCCGACCTAAGACATGGAGCCACATGGCCCATTCACCCCAGACAACTCTGCGTAGTGTTTTCATTGAGTTGTTCCTTGTCTGGGTCTATTAATGCCAAGTCCATCACAGGCAAAGTTTTTTAAGAGCTCAACGAATAACCACCTAGAAACTTATCCTTGAACCAGTAAATGAAAGACCTATATTATGGCAGAAAACTATAGTTCAGAGCTCTAGTAAAACTGTGTTTAATTTCTCAAACTCTTTCCTCAAGTACAAATTTAAGGAGGAATATACTAATGAAGAAATATCACAGGGGATTGTTTTTTAACAATTATTGAGCCACTGACCCATTTTAAAATTGACAAAGCTATGGATTCAGAAAAATGCAATTTGCATTAGTTTCCTTTTGCTGCAGTGACAAATTACCACAAACTTGGTGTCTAGAAAGAAGAGGCATTTGTTTTTTCATAGTTCTGGAGACCAGAAGTTAAATATCAGTTCCTCTGTACTGAATTGAAGGTGTGGGCAGAGTTGTACTTTGCTCCTTGCCTCTTATGGTTTCTGGTGGTTGTCAGCATTCCTTTGCTTGTGGCCACACCGATCCATTCTCTGCCTCTGTCTTCACATCCCTTTCTCCTTTTCTGTGTGTCAGCTCTCTTGTACTCTTTATAACGACACCTGTGATCACATTTAGGGCCCATTCAGATAATCCAGGACAATCTCTCCATGTCCAAATCCTCAGTCACATCTGTCAAGGCTCTTTTACTTTATAAGGTGACATTTACAGGTTCCAGGGGTTAGGACTTGATATATTTAGGTGGCCATTATTCAGCCTCCTACAGATTCCAAATTCTTCCCATACAACTTCAGGAAGATCATGGACACAGGTAAGAACATATGTTCTAGAGATGCATTTCACCACAGATATACTATGAACACTGGAGACAGGTGCATTTACTTACCATCTTCTATACACCTCAGGATCAACTACAGTGGTGGTTAAAAACCTAAAATCTAAAATCATACCCCATTCATTTGCATCCCCTCATCTCATCAGAATCCCCCAGAAGCCAGATCCAGTAATCTACACTTCTAACAAGTTCCCCCAAATTATTCTGTTGCAGTCAGCCTTGTACCCATAGTTTAGTTTAATTGGTTAACAGCTTGGGTGCCTAAGTCTTCTCGCTGTTAACTGGACATGGACATATAGCCACATCCTTCACAGTAAAAGATGTTTGTGCAAGCCTATTTGCATTAAGAAAACTCTAGTGTTCTTACAGTTACCCCCCTTCCCACCACACAAAGGTGAAGTACTTCTATTATTTATTTGTTTTCGATTCCACATTGTGTTTAATGCACTTGCCCTCAAGACACGGAATTTAGTCAAGGGAGAAAGAGGGAGAAAGGAAGAGTAGCAAATTTGCAGTCCATGCAACTAAACTGCACTTGAAGCCCAGCAGACTTGTGGCCCAGTGCCTTGTAACCACCCCCACCCCCACTCCCTGCTCCGGTATAATTTGCCTAGGATAGAGGTTGTGCTGGGAGTCGTACACCCCACCAACACACACACACACACACACACACACACACACACACACACACACACACACGCTTCTTTGATTGGCCGCTCCAGCCCGCGCGTCACGCTCTTTTGTCTCAGAGGACTGAGGATAAAAGCAGCAGCTGCTGCCCTGGGAACCATGCTGACCGAAATCTACTCCCCCTAGCCCGGTGGCAGTGCAGAACAGTTCAGTTCCAGCAGCCCCGAGTAGTTTAGCGGCCCAAGAAGCGTCCATCCTTTCCCACTGCAGGGCCACAGAGGCCAAAGCCTACATCCAGAGCTGTCTGGCCGCTGCCCACCCGCGGAACATAGGTAAATAAAGGGGGGGCGATTGCCAGGAGGGGAAAGAGGAGGGAAAGTCACACTGGGAATGGGCGGCTCCCCGCCTGGAAAATCGAGATCTAGGAGGCTGGGCAAGGAGCATTCTAGGCCTGACTGCGCTGAGGGAGGAGGTGGGGTGCCACGGAATGCTATTAGTGGGTAGGGTTTGCCTGGATTGAGAAGGGGGAGTTTTCAGAGAGGTTGGGGAGGCAAGGGAAGAGAATCGCAAGCTGTCTATCTTGCATCTCCTCATCTCATCCTGGTGAGGGATATATGGGTGTCCCTGTGCATTTCCAACTCCTATTCCCTTTCTCGGTGGCAGGCCATCTAAGAGGAATCTGGACTTGAATTCTGTGCTGCTGATTGCAGAGGTGGTAGGCTGAAGACTTACAAGGGGAACTGTAATTGGAAGGGGCAGGGTCTCTTTGGCTTGTATTCAAATGGCCAGCTTGGCTTCAGTGGAGGGAGCAAAAGAGTGTGGGATGAGAAGGGAGGGAGCAGGATGAGGGATGGGGCTGTTTCTGACCCTTCCTTTCCCTGCCCTTCCTGACGAAGGCTCAGTCTTGAGGCCCAGAAGTCCGGGATCAAGGACCCCCAGTGGACAAAGATCGACTGTACCTGGAGACAAGCTTTCTCATGGAGGCCACCAGTTGCAGAGGCTGATAGTGAAATAAAGGCACACGCTTGTTCCTGAGCTCCTGTAAGAATCTGAGAGATAAAGGGTGGGGCGAGAGGCACTTTGAGAGGGAATGTGGTTGAGACCTGAGACCATGAGGTAAATGAGATCTGACCACTGTGCTCTATTTTGAGAGCCCAACATCAGCTCCATACACGATTACACTTAGAATTAGAAGCAACAGTTGCTGTTGCTCTTGAAAGACTGGAGGAATGGATGTGGCTGTCCAAAGCTCTGCGCTAACAGGGAGACACCGGCTGGCTCCCTGAGGTTGTAACTGCCAGTCTCCTGGAGGATATTTTTAGGACAGCAGGCAGATGGCAGATATAAAATGTACTGAGGATATTCAGGAAGGGAGAGAAAACAGCTGCAGCCCTATTAATCTCCTCTTACACACCCCTCCTGGTTTTTTTTTTTTCTTTTTTTCTTTTTTTCTTTTTCTTCTTTTTTACAGGGGGAAGGCAGAGGCTCCCGGCACGCCTGCAGATTAGTCTCTTCCAAAAAGCCCAAACATCTTGATAATATTCAGATACCCGATCATCATCTGTCATGGCTAGCATCATTTCACACATGGGTAATAGCCGGCGGCAGAACACACGCTTGCCGCCTTGGGCCCATTCTATGCTGAGGTCCCTGGGTAGGAGTCTTGGTCCTTTAATGGCCAACTTGGCAGAAAGAAACATGAAGTTGTTCTCAGGGAGGGGGGTGCCAGCCCAGGGGGAAGAAACCTTTGAAAACTGGCTAATCCAAGTCAATGGGGTCCTGCCAGAGTGGAATATGTCTGAAGAAGAAAAGCTCAAGCGCCTGATGAAAACCCTTAGGGGCCCTGCCCGGGAGGTCATGCATTTGCTCCAGGCAGCCAACCCCAACCTAAGTGTGGCAGATTTCTTGCACGCAATGAAATTGGTGTTTGGGGAGACTGAAACCAATGTGAGTGCCCATGGTAAATTTTTTAACACCGTGCAGGCCCAAGGGGAGAAAGCCTCCCTGTATGTGATCCGTTTAGAGGTGCAACTCCAGAATGCTATTCAGGCAGGGATCATAGCTGCGAAAGATGCAAACCAGACTCGCCTGCACCAGCTCCTTTTAGGGGCTGAGCTGAATGGGGACCTGCGCTACAGACTGAAGCATCTTCTCAGGATGTATGCAAATGAGCAGGAGCGTCTTCCCAATTTTCTGGAGTTAATCAAGATGATAAGGGAGGAGGAGGATTGGGATGACACTTTTATTAATCGGAAGCGGGCCAGGAGATCTGAGTCAATGGTGGAGAGGGCAACCAGTCCAGTGGCATTTCAGGGATCCCTACGGATAGTAATCGGCAGTGCTGACTGCAACGTGATAGAGATAGATGACACCCTGGATGACTCAGACGAAGATGTGATCCTGGTGGAATCTCAGGACCCTCCACTTTCATCCTCTGGTTCTCCTCCCCCCAAAAGCAGAACCAGACCTCAGGATCAAGTGGTAGTCATTGATTCCCCCAATAGTTCCCAGGCTCAATCTCCTTCCACCAGTGGGGGTTCTGGAGATAAAAATGATGGTCCTGGGAATATTTGTAGAGCCAGGAAGCGAAAATACACAACCCATTCTTCATATTGTGGCAAGGAGGACCACTCAAAGGAAACTTGTGACAAGAGCAACAAGGCTGAGATGTTTGAAAATCTGGTCATGACCCTGCAGGAGCTGACACATACAAAGGAGGAGAGGTCAAGAGAGGCTCCTGACCAATCTGATGACCCTTCTGAGCTATAGTGAGGTGCTAGCCTTCAGCCTTAAATGAAGCGTTAAGGTATATTCAGAGCCCAGTGATAGGAAAACTGAGGGAGGGGGTCTCTAATTGCATGAATTAATCCCCATAGCAGCTTTTATTAGGGTTCAGGAGAAAGGGTCTTGGATACAAGCACAATGGAGAAAGATGGCCTGTCCTCTGTCCTTGCTCCCCACCCCCACCTCTGCTGCCTAAGGGTCTGTTTTCTGTGTGTGCTCATTTCCTTGATGGCTTTATTCTCTTTGTGAAAGTGATATAATTCACTGTTAAATCTTCAAACAACAAAAAAGTACAAAAAGTCAAGTACAAATTAGTCCAAATCTTCTACCCTTATATAACCATTGTCAACCCTTTGATGACTATCCTTCTAGATACTTCCATACACCTATAGTTTGTATTCAGATAGATATATGTACAGATAAAAGTGTCAAATATTAGTGCTGTTCTATTGTCTGTATTTTTTCACCAAACAATTTGTTGTGGGCTTCTTTCTATGTCAATAAATATATATCAGCATCTATTTTAATGTTTCTGTGGTATTATTTTAAGAAGTAAAGGAAAAGGAAATAAGAGAAATATGGTAAAAAGCTATAAAGGGGTTTTTAGCAATCTCATTTTGCAGGCACAGCAAAGGGAAGAAGAAATAAGCTGAAATATTCCCCAAAGGTAAATAGAGACTCCTACAATTGACTTGTCCCTTAGATCAGAGCCAAACTATGGCACCCACTAGCTGACAATGCTTCAATGATTTCTGTAATGTATCCAGAGGAGTCTTATGGCCGGGGATCTGGTGCTGCGAGTATAACCCCAAATGGGAAGTCTAGAGGCTTCGATCCTTGTCCCTTTGAGGAGGGACAGCTCTTTCTCTTTTGGGTGGATTTCTTATAATAGATTACTGCTGCTGCTCCATCATGGTCACAACCAGCAATCTCTCCTGAGATGGATTTCTCCTGGTTTTGTGTGTCTCTAGGAACTGTCTCCTTCTCCCATTTGTCAAAGGCACCATTACCCTTGCAGATCACTCAGTACCAGCCAATTACCCCCTCACAAGTCACTTTGCTGAGCAACAGTTGGCAGCTAAGAGCAAGGGGAACTCATCTCAGAGGGACACATAGGCTCCCCAGTGTGTGGAGGGAAGGAGCTATGACTGAGGTCTGAGGAGTCCTTTACAATCCAGATAACTCTGAAATCCTGTCACTACTAGGAAACTCAGAGGCAGCATAAAAAGGAGCAGAGAGAGTGGGGCTGGGTTTCCACCTCACCCTGAAGGGATGGATTTATCCCCAGATGTAGCATTTCATCTCAAAATGGAACTCACAACTTTTTATGGCCTCACAACTGCTCCCATAGGTATGGGCCTTTGCACCATCCGCATTTTACAGTCCAGGACACTGAGTCACACACAGCAATAGTAATTTGCCTAAGACAGAGATTAAGGAAATCAAACATCAGATTTGCTCCTCCCCAGAGCCGGAGATCAACTGTTGTTCTGTAAAGGTAATGACATCCCCCATTACCTTCTCTCTAAGGTAATGAGTATAAAATATCTGATCCTTCTACTGGCTTCATGCTGGATACAGGTTTATAAATTGTCATAGTTATGACCTAAAGCCTGCACAGTAGGATAGTCTCAGTCTCATTTCTTTAAAAAACAAACAAACAAACAAAAAAACACTGGGTGTTTTGTTTGTTAATAAGTTTTTATTGATTCCAGAGAGAGGAAGAGAGAGAGATAGAAACATCAATGAGAGAGAAACATAATAGATCACTGTCTACTGCATGCCTCCTACTAGGGATTGAGTCTGAAACCTGGGAATTTGCCTTGACCAGGAATCAAACAGAGACCTTCAGGTGCATGGTTGATGCTCAACCATTGGGCAACATTGTTGGGGCATGGACTAATTTATTCTATTGAACAAATAGAAAAAAAATTATCAATTTAAGAAACTTTCTTCTCAAAACCTGAAATCATCTTCTCCTCATATTTATCCTTATATTCTTATATGCAATTTCTGAGGTAAGATACTAAAAGTAACAAACTGTTGGTAAGGATATGGGCAGTCTCTCTTCCACAGTGCAGATAGGACTGAGAATTGACACATTCTTTCTGGAAGGCCAACTATGCAATTTTTCAAAGGTTGAAATATGAAACCCCAGTTTAAGTTTCTGAAATTGATGTCAAGAAAATAACTGGACATACAGATGATACATTATAGAATTGTACACCTGAAACCTATATACTTTTATTAACTAATGTCACTCCAATAAATTAAATACAAAAGTTTAAAAAAGGAAATAACTAAACAAATGTAACATTTTTTATGAATAAAAGATGCTTACCCTAGCATTTTTTTTACTTTTTTTTATTTTTATTTTTGGTAATAGTGGAAAACTGGAAACAATTTTAAAGACTTTGAGTAAAGTTTGGCCAAAAAAAGTAGGCTCCACATTAGGAATGGAATGCCACATTTAAAATGATGGGTGTGTTGCTGAAACTGGTTTGGCTCAGTGGATAGAGCTTCAGCCTGCGGACTGAAAGGTCCCAGGTTCTATTCCGGTCAAGGGCATGTATCTTGGTTGTGGGCACATCCCCAGTGGGGGCTGTGCAAGAGGCAGCTGATTGATTACTTTCTCTCATCGATGTTTCTAACTCTCTATCCCTCTCTCTTCCCCTCTGTAAAAAATCAATAAAATATATTTAATAAATAAATAAATAAATAAATAAATAAATAAATAAATAAAATGCTGGGTGTGCCTTCAGATCATTGGGCCCAATCAGACAAATGAAATGTGACCCCTCCTGACAAAGAGCTTAAAAGACCACCAGTCCAGCAGGTCATCTATGTTATGATTGATTCCCAACATGCTCTTCTATCATCCCAGTCCTCCCCTTCATCAGGCAAAATCCTTGCCAAACTTTTAGTATCATTTCCCTTAGTACACTCTTAGGTCAGCATTCTCTGATTCTCACTAGAGGTCATCCCTTATGTCTTAAGTAATTTTTTTGTAACTGGTTGTATAATTATCTCTCTTCCCCACTAGGCTTATATCTTTGGTGCCTAGCACAGGGTTGTTTGGATGTCTTGGTACAGAATTCAGGCACATTTTCATCTCACATGTTTGCACAGGCTATTGTTAACGTTCTCCCAGGTGTTCCTTTGCCTTGATCTCTCATCACATTAATCAAGTATTTGCTCAAATATCAACTTCTCAGTAAGACTGACCCTGCACAGCCCATTTAAAACTGCCCATTTAGCCCTGGCTGGTTTGGCCCAGTGGATATAGTGTCGACCTGGGGACTGAAGGGCCCCAGGTTTGATTCCAGTCAAGGCACATGCGTGGGTTGCCAGCTCAGTCCCCAGTAGGGTACATGCAGAAGGCAGCCAATCAATGATTCTTATCATTGATGTTTCAATATCTCTCTCTCCCTCTTCCTTCCTCTCTGAAATCAATAAAAATATTAAAAATTAAATAAGAATAAAACTGTATACCTAGCCATTAGCACTCCCATTCCTCCTTTCCTGCTCTATTTTTTCCATCATGTGTATCATCTATTATACTACACTAGAGGCCTGGTGCATGAAATTCATGCACTTAGGGGGTCCCTCAGCTTGGCTTGTACCCTCTTGCAGTCCAGGGAGACTGGGCCTAAGCCAGCAGTAGGACAGCCCTAGTGCTGCTGCGGAGGCAGAAGAGGCTTCTGCCACTGCCACTGTGCTTGCCAGCTGTGAGCCTGGTTTCTGGCTGAGTGGCACTCCCCCTGTGGGACTGGACTGGGCCAAAACCACCTCTCTGACATCCCCCAAGGGGATCCCTGATTGTGAGAGGGAGCAGGCCAGGTCAAGGGACCCTAATGGTGTACAATTGGGGCCAGGGAAGAATGCAGAAGGTTGGCCAGTGAAGAAGAGATAGCAGGAGGACTCCATGGCATATACAGCCCATCTAGCTCAGTCCCAATCAGCTTGACCCCAGCAGCAAGCTAACCTACTGGTTGGAGCTTCTGCCCCCGGTGGTCAGTGCATGTCATAGCCAGCGTTTGAGTGGGCTTAGCATATCATTAGCATATTATACTTTGGTTGGTTGAATGGCTGAACAGTCCACCAGACACTTAGCGTATTAGGCTTTTATTATATACAACTAGGGGCCCAGTGCATGAATTCATGTACCTTGAAAGGAACTGTGGGCTGCAAGGTTGTGATGGGCACAGGACTGGGTCTCAGTCCATCCTCCATACCCCACCTGGCCCCTCTTGCAGTGGTCCCTGGTTCCCCGTTTGCCAGCAGCCCTGTTCTTGCTGCTGCTGCTCCCATGTGCTGACAGCACTGTCCCCACTTGCACTCGTTGATAGTGTGGAGCAATTGGGGCCAGCACCAGTAGCAGGTGCGAGCAGTGGCTGTTGCTCTGATTATACCTCAGGAGCAGGGGGAGGTGGAGAAGCCTTCAGGGGCGATTGGGGTGAGCAGCCACTGCTCACATCTGCTGACAGTGCCAAGTGATTGGGGCTGGTGTCAGGCCCTGCCAGCGGGTGCGAGCGGGGCTGGTGCTGGCAGCAGGTGTGAGTGCCCAATGGGACTGCAGCACATGGGAGCAAAGAATTTTCAGTAACCACTGGAGGTTCACCCAGATGACAGCGACTGGCACCCTGCCTTGGGCTGGCATCCCCGCTCACCTGCCCCACTATCTCGCCATGGCCGATGCCTGCCATGTTTCATGCATGCCCTCTGGTGGTCAGCACACATCATAATGATTGGTTGTTCTGTCTGCCGTTCGGTCTACTTGCATATTAGGGTTTTATATAGAGAGATAATTTATTGATTTATTATATCGTTTGTATCTCTCTCTACTAGAACACAATCTCAACAGAGGCAGACATTTTAGTCTTCCCAGTTCCTTTTTGGATCCCCAGCTTCTAGAGCACTGTATAGAACATAAGCTGGCTCTGAATAAATGTTTGTGGCTGGAATGAATGAAGTGCCTGCTGCATAGTAGGCAAACGACAGCCTTCATTATTGCTGCTCTCCTGGAACAGGTGCTGCTAGAGAGGAAATAGTTAATGAGAAAACAGTTCACAATGCTGAACCACCATCCACCTAGCTGATGAGATCAGAAACCTGGGAGACATTATAGATCAACTAGAGGCCCGGTGCACAAAATTAGTGCACAAGGGTCTGTGTCCCTCAGTCTAGACTGCACCCTTTCCAATCTGGACTGCTGGCTCCCAACCGCTTGCCTGTCTGCCTGCCTGATTTCTCCTAACCACTTCTGCCTGCCAGCCTGATCACCCCCTAACCACTCCCCTGCCAGCCTGATCAATCTAACTGCTCCCCTGCCAGCCCAATTGCCCCTAACTGCCCTACCCTGCCAGCCTGGTCACTCCTAACTATCCTCCCCTGCAGGCCTGGTTACCCCCAACTGCCCTCCCCTGCTGACCTGATCACCCACAACTGCCCTCCCTTGCTGGCCATTTTGTGGTGGACCTATTGTGTGTTGGAGTGATGGTCAATTTGCATATTACCTCTT